ACTCAGTAAATAGTGTTCAAGTAATAAACATCCTGTCAGGGTGCATCAGTCAACAACCATAGTGCAGCTTCTGCCCAGACCGCTGCACGCTATGCGCATGCGCGTATTCAGAGCATTGCCGCTAGTACTGCGCATGCGTGAAAACGTGCACTCGCAAGTAACGTGCACACGCATTTCCTTGGCGCCAGGCGGGCTATTTAAAGATGGCTCCTGCATCTGCACTTTGCTGAGAGATCTTCAGCTGTAACCTGCATCTGTGTTTCTGCTCCTGATACCTGTTTGACCCAGCTTCATTCTTGACTCTGCCTACTTGCTGCCTGCCTTGTGACCTCGGCTCGTCCCTGACCATTCTCCTGCCTCCTGATTCGGTACCATTCTGCTCGCAAGTGTATGACCCGGCCTGTTCCTGACTCTGCTTCTGTCACCTGCTTTTGTACCACGCTGACCACACATTACCGTCACATTACCGCACTCGTCACTTCAGGCTCATACCAAGGTAGGTGACACGTCCATTTAATCAGACCAGTCGTCACAAATGAAATACCAACGTTTCGGGGCCGCACAGGGTCCCTTCTTCAGAGCAATAATGTGACCCTGTGACCTCATAATGTTGCCCTGATGAAGGGACCCTGTGCGGCCCCGAAACGTTGGTATTTCGTTTGTGATGACTGGTCCGATTAAATGGACGTTTATTACTTGAACACTATTTACTGAGTGCTGGTGATTCCTGCTTTTCTACTGTTGATGTGCACGGCGCCATCCGTGATTATCACTGCGAGCACCACCGTTGTAATTTGGGCTGGGAACGCTGTAAGGAATGCAGAGGGAACTACTGTTTTCTATACTCACGCACACATTTACACTCCAAAAAAATTTGCACTTTTAAAAAAATGTTAAGGTCCACCCAGTCTCCCTATCTTATGAGAACTGGAGTGGATCCTCAGCCTGGGTGTCCAGTGTGGGCTGCTGTGCTGTGACAGAGCTCCATCCATATGTGCATTGCTTGTACAGCTCCCTTGCGTGCCTTGCAGAGGTGCTGGGAGCCAGAATGTGACATCACTCTGGTCCAGGCACCTCTACAGGACACGTGAGGGAGCTGTAAGCAATGCACTTATGGATGGAGTTCCCTCGCGGCCATACACCCAGCTCACCCCACCCCACCTCAAGATGACACTCTGTGCCAGGCAGCATATTTTGAATGGCTGCTGGGTGCGAGAACTGACAGAGCTGCACTAGGGGGAGGCAGAGTAGCCTCTCACCTAGAAGAGGGGAAGGAATGCGGCGACCCACTGAACACTGGCTCGCGACCCACTTTTGGGTCACGACCCACCTGTTGAAAACCAAGGTGTTAAACTATTCTCCTCATCTGAAAATTCGGGGCCTCCTTAAAAACTGGAGTTACTACCCCTTCTCAAACCTCCTGAAACTACTCTATTTGTTCCAGGTTCTACCCTTCCAACTTCCATCTCACATCATGCAGAATACCACAAAAAATTGTAAACTGACTCTGACAACCTCTTTACATTTGAAAACTTTCTTTAATAAAACCAAAAGAATAAAGAAATGCTATGGATAAAGTAATTCTGTGAAGATAATGCTATGTTCAGAGAGCCCACATTCCCTTATGTAGCAGCCTCTCACAAAGTTAAAGTTTGCTGCTGTACAAGGATCAGGCAGTGGAGCAAGTTATCATGATGACAGGTTAGTATGCAGCTTTACTGGGCTTTGTGTTTCCTGTGGTCAGAATTTCATGTGCACGGTATTATTTTCTTCCCATTTGACCTACTTCTGTACGTTTCCACTAATTCCCTAATCATCTGATTGTCAGCCAGTGCAGCACTTCAAAGCTGCTCAGTTTCCCTAATCACTAGGAAGTTGGGAACGTTTCTGGGGTTGCGGGGGTACGTTGCTCTTCTACGTGTTAGCATACACTCTTTGGATATTGATCATAGTTTAGCGCACAAAGTCTAACATGACATCCTCCCAGACTAAACTTCAACTTTTATCTCTTTCTTCTCTGGTTTCTTCTGGCTTTAGTTGGGTTGAGGAGGAGTCAGAATAATTGCTGATGAGAATGAGAAATTTGCTGATTAAATGCTGAAGGCTGCAGTTCTGTTGCCAGTGACTCAGAACACTATTGTGCTGCTCTGTGTCCTAGTACATTTACTTACACGGCCTTCCTAATTCTGACTGTAAGCTGATATTTAATAAAATAAAGCAATTTGAGTGACTCATATATTTGCTTTTGTCTGAATGCACTATACACCTTAAAGAGAACCTGTGACTCTGTGGTAATGTGAAGATTATGTTTTGCTCCCATCGCACAAGTAGTCACTGGAATAATTTTTCTTTAAGAAATATTCAACTGTCACTGAAAAGTGCAAAAACCCTTGAAATTGGAAGCAATGCCTTATCTCAGGGAATATCCCTGTATGACCTGCACCTTTGTACTAAACCTACAACCTAATGGATTTCCAAAGTTTATAGTTTACCTGCTCTCTTCTGTATTATTATTATTATACAGGGTTTATATAGCGCCAACAGTTTGCCCAGCGCTTTACAATATAAGGAAGACATTACAATCAGAATACAATTCAAGACAAGATGGTAAGGAGGGCCCTGCCCGTGAGAGCTTACAATCTAAAAGGGAGGGGGAAGTGATACATAAGGAGGCAGCTGTGAGGGGATGAATTGTTTGAGAATGTGATAGTTCAGTGGTTAGGTTGAGGTGGGATAGGCTTCCCTGAAGGGATTAGTCTTAAGAGATCGCCTAAAGGCAGTCAGAGTGGGAGATAGACGGACAGGTTGGGGTAGAGAGTTCCAGAGGATGGGAGAGACTCTAGAGAAGTCCTGGAGGCGATTATGGGAGGAGTTGACAAGGGAGCTGGAAAGCAGGAGGTCTTTGGAAGAGCGGAGGGAATGGTTAGGGTGATGTTTTGAGACCAGGTTTGAGATATATCCGGGGGCAGAGTTGTGGATGGCTTTATAAGTGATTGTTAATATTTTGAATTTTATACTTTGGGTGAGTGGAAGCCAGTGCAGGGATCGGCAGAGGGGGGTTGCTGTAAACAAATTGCACCTATGTTGGAGCCATTAGAATCAGTGGATTTCTTAAGGAGATGATGAGTCAGCTTTTTTCTTCCTCAAAGAAGTTGCAGCCTTCCCCAGCTGGAAAAAGAGTGTCAGGAATCCAAAAAGTGGGACACTAATCAGATTGTCTCTTTTCGCTGATTAAAGGCCAACTACAGCTAAACGCTCTTTTTTTATTTTAATGCTTTGGCCAGAGTGGGGGAAGAAATAGCACCACTGTTTTTGTATTGCAATCCTTGTCCTTATTGAGGAGATTTAGGGCCCGTTCACACTAGCTCATCTGCTAGAACGCTGCATTTTAGAGGACGGTTAGTGCGTTTTGGCAGCTTACATCGCTTACTGCCGGAGCTGTCACTGTTTCATTTTTTACTTTATGTGGAGTGTACAATGTGTACACTTTATTTAGGTCCCCGCACAGTAGCCGCGGTACTGCAGCGGCCTGCAGTGGCATCCATTGAGCTGCGAAAAAATGCAGCATATTTTCTTTTTTCCACATTGCATCACCCATCACACCCACATTGTGGTGTTAACAGGGCACATAGAAAACAATTGTTTTCTATGTGCCCTAGCGGTGACCTGCCTTGACCCAGTGCTATAAAACACAGGTCACTGCTATATGTGTGAATGGGCCCTTACCCTCACCTTTCAGGATAGGAAGTGATGATAAATATCTCCAGTAGAGTAACAGACTGCAATAAAACACTATTTTTAATGGAAAATAAAAAGGGTTAATACTTAGGTCCGGTTACTCTTACTGTCTATGTCTTTCTGTCCCAGTGACCACCACTCCCCTCTTTTCTTGCTGTCACAGGTTCTTACAGGTATCACACGGATAGACAAAAGTATTTACTCTTCTAAAGTCAATAGGTTTGACTGGTGTAAGCTGGACCTTTAGTTTTTTTGTAAAATTACCAGTTATGAAGATAGAAGAAGCAGGACTCCGCCCAGCAGGCGGGAATTCTTTTCAAATATCTGTCTAAATTTACAGTGGAAGGATGGAGGTCAGCCTGCTTGTATGTGCTGTCGATGCTTTCACTTATTGACAGAAAACTCAAGGTTTGGCTTTCAGGGCCCTTTAATGTTTTGCCATTCAGGTTCATTGTGTTAGTGCATGCATGTTAACACGTGTTGTGTCATGGTTTAATGTGCATTGCAGTAAGCGATCCCATTCATTTTAAGTGGGGCTGCCAATGCACCACAATGGACAAAAAAAATTAAATTCAGCATTTTTTCCAAAGCAGTGCACCACAACATGCAGTGGTGCATCACTGCGTGTTGTACTGTACTGCAGGGCATGTGTGTCAACAAATATTACCACAATGTCAAAACGAATAGCACCACAACATGTTTAAAGCATGTAACTTGCATTAATGTATATGTTACAATAACACCCCACACTGGAGAGGTGTAAAAATTCCCTTATGGGAATTGATCAAAGGGCAAGGTTGGCCAACCAACTGCCTAAAACATTAGTGGCATCAGTATTATTTGTAGCGGCAGTGTGGAGGTATTTTATTTAATTCTTTATCATGAATGTCTAATTTTTATTATATTTGTGTGCAAAACATGAATAATAGAGCTTTCCCCTTTTTTTTTCTCCCTGTTTTTGGGTGGAAAGGCTGCTTTAACTGAACATTCATAGGATTTTTAAGTGATTATCTGTTTTATCCGCATCTCATGACTTTTTAGCAATAATTAGATACATTGTGCTGAAATCTATCAAATCTCTATGGGTCACTTAAAGAATTATTTCCTGAAATAGTAGATCCTCACCCTACCCCCACCACATCACACGTGTCGGCTGTGCAATTATGGATGCTGCTGAATTGTATTTGAACCCTGTCCCCAGGATTCTGAGCAAGCATGTATTTGTAGTTAATATCTAACATGGTCTCCTCTCCCCTTTGAACAGATTATTGCAGCGTATGCAGAACTGCCTGCAAATACCTGCCTATTTCAGAAAATGTGAGTATGGATGCCAATGACCCTGCAGGATCATTTTTTTTTTTTCAAAAAGTTCAATTGAGATTTTCGATAAACTGTTGTTTTGAATGTGGGCTGCGGTTAAAGCACTTTGGTGCTTAGTAAGACATTTGACTTACATTTGAATATAGAACTATAACTTGCAGTGGCGTAACAATAGCCATAGCAGCCCATGCAGCTGCTATTGGGCCTGTGATAGGAGGGGGCCCCATTAAGGAAAGCTTCCAGTATAGAAGGGCTGAAGTCAGAGCTCAGGATGGTCTAGTCAAAGATCCCCCCCTCTGTGCAGTAAGGAGCATTTGCTCATGTGTCTTAGCAGTGCAGAATGATTGCCCTCTGAACCTCTACTGCAGACTGATATTAACCCTGTATGCCTAACACAGCCACAAATCCCAGAGTTTCATATCTGTAAAACCTTATAGGGGGCTGAGGTTTGTGGTTCTACAAAAAAGTTTAATGAAGATAGAGTTTAAAAGTTTGTATCAGAGTTGAAGAGCAAGTGTGTCCAAACGCGTTAATCATTTTATCATAAAACAGAATATCTTTCTGGTTATCAATATTAGTGCTTCTATAACTTTTACCCCCAGCACTGCTCCTTGGCAGTGTACTGACTATGCTGACAGCTATCCTGCTTGGGGATGGTTCGCCGGTTCGATTCGAACATGAGTTCGAAGTGAACATCGGCCGTTCGAGCGTTCGCAGGTTTGAAAAGAAAAGAGAGAATGTGCTTTTTACTAATAATGGAGTACTGACTGTTCGTGGGATTGACTATATAGAAAATAAAGGTTTATTTCCACAAAGCAAGTCTAATAGAATGAAGGATATAATCTGATTTGTTGCAATAGATTACATATTATTTTTTTATTTCATTATCATAAATACTGATAAGAGGATCATTTTGCCCAAACTGGGTTTCTCCCTAGCAATCTGCAACAGTTCGATATTCATCCTCCTGAGAACCCATGCTCTGGTAACATAGAATGCAGAGGTAAAATGGACCTCTTTGCAAATTAACTGTAATTATTCCACCTAGTCATTATTTAGGAACATGAAATAAAAGAAGTTTTCTTTTTGTTCATACACTTTGATGTATAAAGCATACTTAAATTAGCTTATAGATAGTATCTGCACTATTATATAATATACAAAGGGCAATGATTAACCATCAAGCTCTCCAAGCTCATTTGGAACACTTTCTGCATATTGGTCTCTTATTAACCATCAGACATACAAATTCTCTCTTGGTTAATTTCTATTCTTATCAATATTGGCTGAGCCCATAACTCACCCACTGCTTTTCAGTTGCAGGTGAACACATACCAATGTAAAGGGTTTAAAATGTGCCACACACACAGAATTCTCGATCAAGGGACAACATGTTGAGAGAGACCCAGTTTCCTGATTACAATCAAAACTATGTTAACAGATTTATGTTCCTATCCTGTGCAAAATGTTACCAACCAAATATGCAAGTTACATTACATACTGTATCTTTAACAGATACTTTCTGAAACTTTTTGTATCTATATCTATTCTGTAAAAGGGTTGCTCAAATATACTGTAGGGTGACTAACAGCTGAAGAGGCACAAACAATAAGTCATCAATGTGAGTTGATATTAAATTAATGATCAAGCAGATAAGCAGCATGGATCTGTTTTTTTTTCTTGGATGTTTGTTATTTGTAAACACTGTAATTTTTCCCTAATTGGGCAAAGTGGCAATGTCTCTTTAACAAGCCTCAATGCACAAAAAAGGCACCTACACTATTTTTGGGAAACACAGTACACCATAATGCTAATTGCATTCATATTTGAGTGCCAAAGGGCAGGGTCATTTCATTATATACAATATGTGCTAGCGTGTCATTTAGAATGAATGTATAGTCATTTCAGAACAAGTGTCCCCCAAGAGATGCTGATTCTAACCTATAACTCATAATTCCTATAACTTTCAGTGGCTATTCTCTGCCATCATCCTTGTAATACTGCTATACAATATGTAGTATTATATATATAGTTTCATATTTATGATTTCCTTTATATTTTTTTATATTTGTAGCTCAAGTCTCAAGAGAAGATATATTTTAGAAACCCTAAAGACACTGTGCTGAAATACTTTAACAGTATTGCACAGGTGAGTGTATTAAAGTGCACCTATTATATCTACCAAAGTGCATGAACAAACATATGATTGCACATATACAGATACCCTGTGGTGTCAGCAAGTACTTTTTGTCTTCCTTTCCTTTATGCCTATGGAGGACCTTGAATCAGAGTCAAATAATTTATTTCTATCAGGGGCCTGTCACACCATATCCAGTGCGCTCCGGTGCGGTTCTAACCAGGAACCCACTGGATCACATAGATCAAGCCAGGTCGCGTTCTGGGGCGGGAGGGGGCATGCCATCTATGTCAATGGCACCGCAGACACACCCCTGCCCGCTGTGCGATCGCCCACACCGGAACCGCTAGGTACAGGAACGCCCTCCGTTCGGTAACAGTGCGATTGAAAAAAATGCTGCATGTACAATTTTTTCAGATGGCACTGCACCCGAATAGAGGGCATATCTGTACCCAGTGTCCCGTTGCGGGCACGCGCACTGTGGGTTGGGGGCATGTCTGTGGTGCCATTGACGTGAATGGCCCCGCCACGCCCTCTCAAGTTAACAGATAGTGCTCCTACAAGATACACTGGTCTCCTTGAGAGAGATGGGAAAGGTATTGAAGTACTCAGGCCCACTATCTTCAATAATGCTCTCAACATCCTCTCCTGTCTCCCCTCAGGGCACACAGTCTCTAGCCTTTAACCTCCATTTCAAAGGAGCATATTCAACCTCCCAAATGTTTTGGACTCCCATAGATCATTTCCATTCTCTGTGTTCCAATAGAATTGTAGCATCCCTGACACGCACTTCTTACAATATGTACATATGAGACTTTTTTTTACTTCTATGCTGGGCTGCAACCCTACACTACAACCACAATTGGGCCTGGCATTGATACTAGAAACACCCTCTGGAAAATGTAACCTGTCCTGGTTTTACCAAACGCTGCAGGAGGCTACATGTACACACCCTGCACTATCAGCATATGTTAGTGGCTATCTCCAAAGTACTTCAAAGTTACGCAGGCCTTTAATATCCTCTCTAAATCTTCTTCACCCATATGGCTCTCCTCCTGCCCTAAATGTCATATCGAATCACCTAACCTTACAGAGCTATAGTGGCAATGCCCAGTTATAGAGACCTACTGGTGGGACACTATCTCCTATATGAATTAAATAACTGGGTTCACTAGGCTGCTATGCCCATTGATTTGTCTACTGCATCGCATTAGAGATTTAAAAGAGGGGGTGTGTAGAGATCTGACTAGATGGGAGATCATATGTTTATTGGGGGTGAGGAAAATCATAACGCAATGGATTCAACCATGTTACCCCAATCTAGAGGAGTTGAAGTCAATAATATTTAGGCTCATGCTGCTAGATAACACAAACACTATGAGAAATAAACTAATATACAGGAAAGATGTTTTTGAAACTTGGTCTTGTTATTTGCAAGCGGAACTGATGGGAACCAACTTAACATGGTACAACATAGAAAAATGAAGGGGTACCCTGGAATGGTTAGAAATGTTCTGATAAACTATCCTTGGCCTCAATGCACATAGGAACATTCAAGGAATAGTCCAGCATGGGGATAGCCAACCTATCTTTAAAGTGTATCATTAAAGTGTAACAATAATTTTTTTTAAATCTTACCTTTTAGATCTCTCTAGTTTGCAGGCCTGTCCTAATACTGTAAATATTGCTCTTAGCTCACCATATTTAGCCTATTGTCATTCTGAAAAGGTGAACATTTTGAAACAAATCTGAAGCTCTGTATTTGACAGCTGTACCAATATCCCATGTATGCTGTTTTTATGTCCGTTTACTGTGTAACAACTGTAATGTCATCTTGGTGCTAAACACAATAAAGAAATTCAGGCTTAAAAAAAAACATGATTTAAAAAACATGATTTATAAGGTGTGCAAGGTGTAATGTGGGGTAATCTTATTTAGTGCAAGTAGACATGGACATTTTGGAATTTGCACTGTTCAATAACAGACACACTTTGCAAATGTATTAACAATATTGCTTTGTTGCTGAAAACCCAGTGCCTGTAGATCCTAACATGGGGTTTTTAATTAGAAAATACATTTAAAATAATTCCCTGATTCCTAACCTCAACCTAATCTTTAAGATGACTCTGACATTTAACAACCTCAAAATAACCTCCCTCCTAAACTAAACGTAAGCCTTAACTCGTGTCTGCATCACAGGTTTGTGATTTAGTGTAAAGTGTCCCACAAACCTATTCTGAAAGTAATGGGGATTCGATACACCACAGCACGGGGGAAAAGGCATTTGCTTATTACTTTTAACAGAATATTGTCATTTCTTTCGACTTTGGCATGCTATTTTAAAAAAGGCATCTCAAGCACTACAAATTATGAGAATACAGAACAATGTAACAATGCTAATTGATTTTCATTTGTTAAATTGGGATAACACCTATTTTATATTTGTGACATGTTTCTCAATCACATAGCAAAAATTAAAAAACAAATAATTGCTGCTTACATAAAACTCGCTCAATTACCAAACAACAGTTTTTCTTGGTACTGAGTTTTCCTCTGGAATGTAAGAGGTAGGGAGGGAAATGTTTACAATGTGTAACCCTGTCTGTACTGTTCTTGCAAATCTTGTTTTCAGTTGAAAACTAGGTCTACACATTCTGTCCTAAAAAGGGTTAAAGATCTAGAACCTTGGCTTCTTTCATTGTATGTTGATTAGGGGGTGCTCAGTCTGTCTATTAGAACAGACAGAGTTTCCTGTTACTGAAACTGAGAGAAGAGCTTGGGAAGGCCAAAAAATAGAGATCTTAAATGTAAAAAGGTAAGAATTTAAAAAAAAAAATACTTTTTAGATATGCTCTGTGAACAGCACACATAAACTTGTAGAGGGGTTGTCTCAATTGTGCCTGCCCAAGTGCAAATACACCTTAATTTTATAGTTTAGTCTAAACAAATACATACTTTTGCATTTAGTGGTATGGAACATTGTCTTGGATAGCTTTGTTTACATCGGAATCTTTTACTTATTCTTGTCTTTTACAATTTACATAGGCATGGTGTTTCCAGAAACAACAGCATGAATTGCATGTGGCATCCTACAAGCAATATATAACTAACAACCAGAATGCTTTTAAAGAGGCTCTTTTGAAGATCAACACCATAGAAAAGTATTTTCTTATTTTGGGGTTTTTAAAGGTTTATTTTAAAGGGCATGTTAACCACTTCCGGGCCGCAATACGTCTATATAAGGTGGCCCGCAGAAGTGGTTAAAACAAGAACACGGCTGCTGCAGCCATGTTCTTGGTGTAATTTTAAACAGTCATCGATGGCTATTAATGTACAAGCGATCTGTCGTCTATACAGCCGGCAGATTGTTTATACCGTGTGGCGCTGTCCCCTCCCCCCTGCCTTTCCTGCCAGGGCCGCCATCGGCTTCCTCGGGCTCCGCTATCCCCGTGCGGCACCCGGGACCGGCTCGGTGGGTCTCCCCGCAACAATCGGAGAGAGATTCAGCGGCTTCCAGCCGCTCATTTCTCCTCCAATCACTGGACCCGGAGGTGATGTGTATTACATCACTTCCGGTGTCACTATTTACATTCTCCTGCTGTTAGAGCCAGGAGAAGAAGCTGGGGAAGCAGATCTCTGCTTCCTCAGCTTCTTTGGGGTCCTAAGGTGAAATTAGGGATGCACATGCACACATACGCACGCACATACACACGCAAACACGCGTCGGTCTGCCTACGTGTGAAAATGACAATTGCAATACACATTTAACATATCGCCACGAACATCGGAGTGAGATCAATTATTCTAGAGCCATTAATCACTGTTAGCACTAAACTGATGACCGATAAAAGCGTTTAAAGTGTTTGTGAACTTTTGGGTATTTAAGTTTTCTGCGGCTTTGAGGCTTGACATGTTTGGTATCTATTTACCTGACGTGACCCCCATCTTTCATATTTTACAAAAAACGTGGGCATTATATTATGTTTCTGTGCACTAAATTTTAATTTAGTTTATTTTATCCTAAAAATACTGGTTTTATAAACATTTGTGCAAATATCGTGTGACACAAATATTGTCTACAGGGCCTCAGCTTTCAGAACATATATCATTGTTTGGGGGTTTGAAGCTGTTTTCTAGCCAAAAATGTATATTTTATCATGTGTGCGCAAATAGTAAGATAATGCTCCGGACAGCAAGTGGTTAAGGCATTACCCACATTTAATCCTAGACCCCCCCTCCCCTTCACTACCACTCTGGAGCTTGCCCCAGCATTATTTTTTTCTTTTACCTTGTAGTGAGAAAGAGTTTTTCTTACTCCCTGTGACACTCTCAATCACCAGGCTTGTAAAATTCCCACAGGTGCAGCACCTGGGAGCTTTCTGTCTATTGATGTAGTCACGGCCCCAGATCTATATCTTCCAAGTGCCATTTCTCAAAACACAGTGGGGGGAATTTATCAAAACTGGAGCAGACAAAGTCTGGAGCAGACTTGCACTGCAACCAATCAGCTTCTCTCTCTCATTTTCAAATCTTACCTGAGCAAACTGATAAGAGAAGCTGATTGGTTGCCATGGACAACTGCTCCAGATTTAGTTTGCTCCAGTTTTAAAAAATTCCCCTCAGTGTGTGGGTAGGCTCTTGGGAATCAAGTCTCCAGCACTGTTTTTTTGGAAAATAAATGAATGTATGCATAAGGGGTGTGGGATAGACAAAGTTTTGTAGGCCAGCAGGCAGGGCTAACATCGCTGGTATTGTTTTGTCAGCCCAAATGGGAAGTTTGGAGCTCATTACAATTCTGCTAGAATTAATGGGTATTTTTCTGTACCTGCAGTCTATTTAAAGGGATAAAACATCTGTAAATGTCTATTGATGTACTAGATGATTTTTTGTTTTAGTTTGCCCTGACATTCACTATATGTTTATGCCATAACAGAACATTTGCACATTGGCTTTTATTCTGTTGCATAATTATAAAAAAATATGTATGCTTTTTTCCATAGTGAACTGAAAGCAATAAAAAGGGAAAATGCTGAGCTTAAATCTTTGGTTACTCACTTAAAGGTAGGGCTAAATTACTTCTTGTTTGTGTGTGTTCTATGTATCTGTTTTCTCCCATTTACTTCTGAAGATTTGGTATTCTTTATAAAAGATCAAGGCATACCACTTGCTCTAATTTAGCTGGTTAGAGCAAGTGGTATGCCTTGCCCAGGTGATCTTTATCATTTTCATTTCTCTGCACCACTCTTTATGTTGTACTGTACGTTCTGTACTCAAAACATAGACAAAAAATGGCAACCCTGACAATACAATGGCCATAAATGAGCAGTCACATCTAGATAAAGTTTTGAAATGAGATTGACACTTTATGTGAAAGTAGAAACTATGTCCAGGTTTGAATTTGGTATTAAGGCCTCCTTTGCATTTCGGTTGGTAGAGAGGTGTATAGTCCTGTGTCAGACTGGTCAACAGGAGATATGAGATGAACAGAGAATGTCTCAAAGTGCTATGTTTACTGGCATTAATCCTCAAAGGGTTGGACCCCCTTGAGGGGTTGGTCAGACCCTAGGGAACGTTGATAATAGGTAGTTTGTTTGGGTTGCCTTAAAAGGTAATGGGTCTATCATATTCCGAATTCCCTAGATAATGTTATATCATGTTGGTAATAGGAAATGTTTTAGCCACAAGTAATCAGTATTGAGAAAGATTCTGAAGACTCTTGGACTTGGGTAGGATCTTGGCTTCCCTATTAATGGCATAATTACACATGGTGGTGGTCTTCCCATAAGGGTATCTTTATCCATATCTATCACTCATAGGGTGTTACTGATCACTCGATGATTTCTGATCTGTGAATGTAGTTCCCCCACTAGCCAGAAAAGGCATTGTATTGGAATATTCCTGCATAACTGCTCCAGTTGAATCCATCTCTTTGTTGAGGCATGTGTGCACCATTCAGTGTTTCTAGAGATATGAATGGCTTTTTGGTATAACCAAGGATCAGAAAATCTGATGCCCCCCAAACTATTTAGAATACTACTTTGAAATCTGTTTAGTTTATGAACCTGTAAAAATAGTCTGAACACTAACTCAGGGCTCAAAATTTCCACTCGCCTGCTCGTATTTGGCGAGTGGACATGCAGTGCAGGCACCGCAAACCTGACTTGTGGGATCAGCTGCTCCTGCTGGGCTCTCTGTTCTTTCAGTTGCAGCTCTTCACTGAGCTCCGGGCGGAAAACAGCAGACCTTACTAATCACTACTAGATCACATGGGGTCGTGTCTGCTCGCCTCCTCCCTGCAGAAAGACAAGCAGGTGAGGGGGCTTCCTTGTTTTATTTTACATGGGGGGCAGGGAACAGGGGGGCTTCTTACTTTATGTGTGGGG